AAATCGACGCATTTCAGAAAGGCGGGGCATAGAGGAGAAACAATAATGTACAGTATGTGGAAAATAATGTGTTTTTTTAACCTTAAACTGCATAAACACATTTCATTACACCAAATACACAAAATAATGTTCTTTTTAGCAACATCATATGACCCCTTTAACACTGCTTAAAATGATTATTAGGACTTCTATAACCATTTAAAGCAGGGTTATTCTAAAATAACACTATTTAAGACATTTGAAACTTTAATTGTATACATACATGATGAAACTATGAAATGTAAGATTTTTAAGGACCCACAGGGACCTTGTAAACGTTAATCCTGCAAATTAGCTTTACTTTTTTAGTCTGAGTACCTTGCTTTTCGGTGTGGGTTGGACGGGAGGTGTGGATGCCAGGCTGGGAGGGTTTGTGGGGATCTGGTTCTGGAGCTGTGGAGGCGGCGGTGGTCTGGTGGGGATGTTCTGCACGGAGATGCCGTGAGGTGTTATGTGGTGGATCTGACCGGGTGTAGTCACATTAACCAGGTCATTGGTCTGAACTTCAATCTTGTATCCCGGCGGAAGAAACGTGTTAAACCCCATAATGAGATCAGGGTGACCCTTAAAGAGCTGCGACACCCTGCTGATTACGCCCGGGGTGTCAATACTGCAGAATGAGAAAGAGAGAAAGTATTCGAAATGATTAATTATGATTAACTACTTCCCAGTAAAACTATCTACCATTGTGGGAAATTATGCAGGGCAGGATTTGAATGTAGGAGCATGGCAATAATATATTTTTCTGACAACATGGCCTTGCTTAAGTAAAAAAAAAAAAAAATCATAAAAATTGGATGAAAGCAATGTATATTTTTATTTATATTATTTTAATTGATAAATTAAAAAATGCATGCTTTTATTCAGCAAGGGCGCATCAACAGTAAAGATATTTAAAGCATATAAGTAAGGTATCGTGATGTTTCACATGTGAATAAACTCACCACTGAGATTTAAACTCTTTCATGATATCCAAGAAATCATTGTAGACGTGTGGTTGATTGCCAAACTGTAGCTTCACCTGGTCCAGGTAAGACAGGGCGTCCTCCACCTGCAGGAAGGAAAACGACAATCCAGTTTATCTCACGCACACAGCTGCTATTGCAAGACTGCATTGGTTTGACTCCCAAACAACCCAAACACAAAATCCCGTCTCACCTTAAGTCTCTGGAACTGCTGTTGCCCCTGTGCAGATGCGGAGGGGGTGGGCGGGTGACTGTGGCCCTGCACCGGCGCAGGACCGTGGGCCTGGACCACTGCCGGATCATGATGGTGAGCACCACTGTGGGCCGCCGCCGGACTGGGTGTGTGACCGTGACCACTTGAGCTTTGGGCCACTGTGGACACCTAATATCAGAAACAGTGCAAAGATCTCAGCTATGTGGAGCCTCTGTGAGATTCTCTCTAAGCAAAATTACTATATACTGTATAATAGTAATACTAATATATATATATATAAACTGTATATACAGGGATCAACGCTAAGGATTTTTTCTATTGGCCCGGTCGGGCCAGTGGTTCAAATTTTTACTTGCCCTGCCAACATTTTCACTGGCCCTGCCACAAAAAATAAAATAGTTGCTGTTATCATTGTTACAATCTTGTATTCTAATAAATAAGCTTATACTACATGACAACAATATTTTAGATACCAATTAAATTTTACAATTCTCTATTTCAATTCTGATACCACAGCAAAAATCACTAGCCAAAAATAAACATAAATATAACGTTGAAATATTATTAAAGACAAGTGACAGCCTGTAAATAATAACAAATGAACAAATTAAAGGGGTCATATGATGCGATTTCAATTTTTCCTTTCTCTTTGGAGCGTTACAAGCTCTTGGTGCATAAAGAAGATCTGTAAAGTTGCAAAGACTAAAGTCTCAAAACCAAAGAGATATTCTTTATAAAAGTTAAGAGTTAACCACGCCTACTTAAAACGGCTCGTTCTAACACGCCCCCACATACCTACGTCACGATCTGGGAAGATTTGCATAACGCCGCCCAAATGTTCACGCAAAGAAAGAAGGCGTAACTTTTATTCTCGCTGTAGTATTGTTGCCGCTGCCGCCATGTCCTGAAGACGCTGTGTGCTTCGTTGTGAAAGCGAAACTACTTTGTTTGGTCTTCCAAAAGAGGACGATATCCGCTTCGTCATGCCTAGAGCTGATCTGTGCTGGTCGCTGAGGGAATACATCAACTTTCACCGTGGACAAAGCGGAAGCACAAAGATAGAAATGAAATGATGCTTTAGGTTTAGGTTTTTATGTTTGCAGATGTTCAGGTACAGAAATTGAAAAATCACATATAAAATAACATTGCATATTCTTCACTCTGTGTTGCACCTTGATTTTTTATAGCCATTTGAAATTAGAGGCAACCACTGCATTTGAATCATAACTTGAAAAAAAAATTGTGCAGTGTTTGATTTATATTACACTGTATAATTTCAAAATCTGAAGCAAAAACTGAATGACCTGACTTTAGCTTTGTGAAATTATGCTACATAAAACATCTGTATGAAACAGAGACAGCAGGTGGGCTGAATAAGACGCAGACTCTGACAGCAGGCGGCGCTTATGGAACAGTGATACAGCAATTCCTTGGTTAACGCTGTAAACACAGCAGTGCTGTGCGTATTACCACTAATTTAAATGCATCATACTGAGACAAAATGAAAAGAAAACGCCATTTCTGAAAACAGTCAGTTCCATTCCCCTCAGACAGAAACACATTCATATAAAATTCAATATTTGGATTTACTTCCTATATTTCGCGCATCGTGAACAGTGATCTTGTTCTGCCTGCTACAGTATTTTCTCCTCTTTGTGTCCATCTTCAGCATCTCTGGCCTCTGTTAACGGCCGTTTACAGACTAATTATAATAATAACGTAATATTTCCACACAAATGGCCTTTGGGAAAATAATTGCAGTGCAGTTTGTGTGCAAGCACGGTACAGAAGATAGTCTGAAATAAAACAAAAAAATGTACGGTCGATTGGTGCATCTGTACTCCAGTGTATAAATTCAATATAGATTAATCATTGTTACACCGTCTCTACACCGGACGCGACAGTTATTGCGCTGCAACAGCTAAAGTCTGTCTACACTGGACGCGACAAAGCAACCGTTAAAAATCATTTGAAATTTGTGTCAGTACGTCATAAATAGAACGCGGCAGCAGATTACTGTCGGGGATTTGTCGTGGTGCGTTGCGCCGCATCCAGTGTAGACAGCATCGCTGATTATAATGGATTCTACAGGATTTTGTTGCGCCGCTCGTGTCTGGTGTAGACACGGTGTTAAAGTTACTTGCCAGGACGGGTATTTTGACATACTTTTGTATGTATACCCCGTTCAGGGGCTCACGCGTGTCAGAGATGCGGCTGTCTGTGAGCGTGCTGATCACACAGAACACAGCGCTCGAGTACTGAAAGGAGTTGTCTTTCCCAAATGCTTTTTAATAGGGATGCACCGATACCACTTTTTCCAGTACTCGCCCGATACCTTTACTTTTATTTTTGGTACTTGCCGATACAGAGTACCAATATTTTTATTGCAAAAAAGTGAAAAAGCATAATAGCACCCCTTTAAAAAATTTTTTTAAATGAAAACTGAAAATATAAAATTAAAAGCTACTTCCAAATTTAAAAAAAAAAAGATTAAAATAAAAAAAAAATACAATCAAATAAAAAAGGTGATATGCTCAAGTAAAAATAAAATTAAAAATAGGGATGCACCGATACCACTTTTTCCAGTACTCGCCCGATACCGATACTTTTATTTTTGGTACTTG